TTGACGATGAAAACGACCTTGAAACTGAGCTCAAAGTAGCAGAAATGTTCGATTTTTACCAATGTTTAGGAGTAAACAAATCACACCACACGTCCAATACACGTCAACTGGGAGTCTGATATTCTTCACTAGTGCACTGATATTATTTATACCATTTTTTACAATAATGCAGTAGTCTGCATAACAGTAAATTTTGTATTTTTTTGTATGAATAAAAAATCAAAATAGAAAGCAATAATAATATAAGAGGGGCCTAGAGATGTGACTAATGAACAGAGGATATGTTATTTTAGTGCCAAGAATGTCTACCTTGTTTATTCTAGACCCTACTTTGAAATTGGCATCATTTTTAGTTTGCGTGAAACTGGCCAAATTGCCAATTTCTGACCACAATATTGGGTAGTCCAAATTGGTAAATGGGAGGTTTCTTGTACTCAGCTGATAGATAAAATGGAGTTCTAAAGAAATAGCTATGAGTTTGGTCAACTGGAACAACGGAATTGGCTGAAAATAGGGCTCAAAGTCGGCCAAATCGCCGATACGCATATGTTGCCGAGACCGCTAACTTCGCAGGAGCGTAATTCCATGAGTTTTCGAACAAATTTCGAACTTTTGGTGTCATTACCATCGGGAAAAGATTCTCTATCATTTCATAAGAAAAAATTATTTTTTTTTTTCAAAAATTTAGCAACATAGAATGACAGTTTCAGAAAGGGGCCTGAAACAGTCAAAGGGTTAATGTAGGGCGAGAGGTGAGTAAATGAGATGAAACAAATAAACGAGAGGGAGAGAAAAAATGAGTACATGAGAGAGGGCAGAGACGCAGAGTTATGTAAACAAACATGATCATGTCTGGTTTCAGTTCACACATGTTTGAATTATACTATAATACAAACACTTTACATTGTGTACAAGTTGTCTCCACTTTGATACAGTAGAATAAATAAAGAGGAACACTCCCATTCTCATGTAATGCCACTTTTAGAAGAAATGACGCTCTGAGTGAAGGCATACGAAAGAAATAATTTTGTACATGTTGGCAGCCAGTCCATGCACAGACGCTCACTGCATCACTACATGATGATGGACAAATGAGTAGACAGGTGGAGTTACCCCCAGTAATACTATAGTGTACACATTTTCTTTGATGTTGGACTTGAGAAAACATAATTCTTACCATCACTCCTACAAGTCGCCTGGCTACCACATCTCATATTTAAGTTAATTTATTCTACTGTAGGGTGTAGTTATCATGTTTATATGTTATGTAGCATGTTTATTATATAATTTTGAAAAAATATCATAGATGGAATAACGAAAATGTGTATATTAAAGTAATGTATACAACATTTAATGTGCCTCAGTGATTATTATTGAGTATTATTATTATCATTATTAATATGGCATCTAGAGACATAAGACACTCTTACTGATTTTAATATGTACCTGCATGCCAACACAGTGTGCAAGTATATATAGGTACAGGTACACATAAACATAATTATCAAAGTATATATAAAATATGAAATAACTTTAAAACACTTGAAATTTTGGAAAGTTTCCAGACATAATGGAGAGACACGGAGCTCACAGAGAATGTAAACAAACCGGGTGGGGCGCACCATATTAGAAAGACAGTCGTATAGCAAGTTTTGGTCACAATTTGAAATCACCATATTAGCAGAATGCCTTAAGGCGAAACGCCATAAAGCGGGGCCCTACTGTAAAAATTATTTTATATTATTATACTCACATGAAGCACTCAACCCGTGACACGTGACCTGACCAAATCTTCACTATATTACCACGTTCACTTGTGTGTAAAGTCATATGTGAGGTGAAATCTCAGACTTATAAGTCCTCTGTTCTCCTATTATTTTACTATTTCTTGATAATGTGAGATATCACGAAAGTACTTGGAATTTCACTATTTTTTCACTGTGGTTATTTTGCATATTGTGATATCACCTGTTTACTGTGATCTTACTACATAAAGCATTAAGGGAAAAAGATAAGAAAATTTAGATATTTTATAGTATGGGCAGGAGTGGTGGTTGTAATAAATGTGGTATGAAAAATGGCATTTTATATACAGTAGGTATAGCAAAAGATAAAGTGAAAGCTGTTTTAGTTATGAAATGTGCAGTTCACTTTTGCTTCTGCTGCTGATTTTATGTCATTTTTTTCTGTAATTTTAATTATGTTTTGTTACAACATACTCCAACTGTGATGTCTATTGTAACTTTTTGTGCTGTCTGGTGTAATATGTTTCATTAGTGATCTTCTGTTCAGTTGATTCTCCCTTATTTCCTGAGGTACAGTTTTTCCACTATTCTGTTCTACTTGGAACTTCCATAGCAGTAATTTTTGTTGCCTTTTTGATAAAGTTTATGTTAGTGTACTTTTACTTGTGGCTTCCATTACAGCAGTTGATGCAGTGTTACCTGCTATTTTAAATGTAACTTTAGTTCTGGCTGTAATTTCATGTTAAAGTGGGATTACTCTTACAGTTGTGTGTGCCATGGCCAATGTGTTACATTTGTAGCTTTTATTTGCTTACAGTTTTGGCTTCAGTTGCAGAGATATTTTCATCTATAGTTTCTGTTTCACTGGTGGTTTCTGTTTCAGTTTTGCCTTCTGTTTTGGTTGTGGTTTCTGCTCCAGATGTGGTACTTGTTTCAATTGTGGCACCTGCTTTAGTTGTGGTACCTATTACAGCTGTGATAACTGTTTCAGTTGTGGCTTCTGTTTTAGTGACAGCTGTTTCAATTGTAGTACCTATTTCAGTTGTGATACCTGTTTTGGGTATGGTACCTATTTCAGTTGTGATACCTGTTTCAGGTGCAATATGTATTTCAGGTGTGGTACCTGTTTCAGGTATGGTACCTGTTTCAGGTGTGGTACCTGTTTCAGATGTGATATCAGTTTCAGATGTGGCACCTGTTTCAGATGTGGCACCTGTTTCAAGAGTGATATATATTTCAGGTGTGATATCTGTTTCAGGTATGGTACCTGTTTCAGGTGTGATATCTGTTTCAGTTGTGGTTCCTGTTTCAGTTGTAGTTTTGGTACCTGTTTCAGGTGCGATATCTGTTTCAGTTGTAGTTTTGGTTTCACTTATTACTAATATTTGAATTGTGGTTTCAGTTTCAGTAGTATCTTCTACTGTAGTTGTGGCTTCTGTTTCAGTTGCAATCTCAGTGGTTAATGCTGAAATGTTAGGGGTGGTGGTAGTAGTTAGGGTAGTAGAAGTAGTTGGGATAGTGGTGGTGGTTGTGGTAGATAAGGTGAATGTTGGTCTTTGAGTTGTTGTAGAGCTTCTTGTTATGGCTGATGGTGTTGTAGTTTTACCTGCAAATTTGTTAAAGAAAGACATATTATTCAGTTAACAAACTGCCCATATCATGCACAGGCATATTCAAGAAGATATTAGTGCATGCATGACCACTGCCAATTTGGAAAGTCATCTAGAGTTTATCTCATGCTGTGATGCCAGTGGGAGTAATGCTGTACAAAATGGTCTCTGTAATTTGGAATTTTTAAAATAAAACCAAAAATTCCAAATTTAATCTTTTAAGCTCTTTGCTGAGTAATATGAGTTGATTCTGGTTGTTGACTAGCCTCCTCCTCTGACTTATCCTTCACTGTCAACAATGAGAGAATAGTTTCCAAGTACAGGTGTCCCTCGCTTATTGTGATATATATGTTACAGGTCCATGACAGCTCTACTAGGCTCAGCCCATCATCACCTGAACTACACTGATCATATATGGAGAATGAATATTGCACACATGGAATGACTGATAGAAATGGGACATCACATCATAGCAAATTCACATAAAGCAAATCTACTTCAAACAAGGAAAACCTGCATATATGCAATGATAATTTCTTCCCTGCTACCAGTGCTTTTCGATTTGATGTAATTAGATTGAGGTTAGATTAAGATAACCTAAAATAACTAATATTTAATTTTTGTCTCATCCTAGAGAGTGGAGAAATTGATGCACTGTAGCATATGGGCCAATATTAACCTGTATCCTTTTTATACAAAGAATTCAAAACTTTTTTACATTAAGCAACACTCTTAAGCCTACCCATTCAGCATTAAGGAAACAATGAATTATCTATTTTCACAGTACCAATGGAAAAAGACTCCTATGATGGTGTGGCTTATACTCTCATTTTGGGTGCTGGTCATCAACAGAGTCAACAGTGTTTTTTCACACTTATCTTTATACTAATCTATGTCAAGACACTTTATAACTCCACAGAACTCATACTGCTCTACACAGCCCCAGCATGAGATAAATAAGTTTGCAAAGGATATTTTCTATAGGGTATCATCATATCTGGTCCCAAAATCTTACAAGTGGATGGTTCAAAGTTAGCCTGGCCATTAAGATGAGTTTTTTACTGTATAGATGAGTTATTACCCATTTTCATGTTATGGGGCTCTTTCTCAATGAAGTAGTTTTAGTTAGTTTAATATCTTTATTATGCACCTCATACCCATCCTGTGGGCGGTAGTCAAAAAAGGGCACCCCATTTGAAGGTGTTATTATTGTAGCAACCTACATCATTGACTGTGGGTGGTAGTCAATGATGTAGGTTGCTACAATAATAACACCCTTCAGATGGGGTGCCATTTTTGCTGATAAAGGGTTCTTGATCCAAGGAATTGTACCCCACCCTCCCCTTCCCTGGATCAAGCCTAATTACCTCCCATTTTTCAGGCACTGCATGACCCCTGTCCTTTAAGGGAGGTACTTTGATGCCAATCAGAGACTCTTGATCCAAGGAACTGAACCTAACTTCCTCTTTTCTGGATCAAGCCTGAATTCCTCCCATTTCCCCAGGCACTATATAACACTTACGGGTTTAGCACTTTCTCAGGAATATATTAATATTCCGGGTATATAGTAAATGGCATAACAGACACAAATCAATACAGAACAACAGAGATAAACATGAAAATGTGGACAAAACTAAAAACTCACTGGGATCAACACAATTGGCTTCCTTGAAGAGGTGGAGGTGATCAGGACAGTAGCATGCGAACCGCAGCTCTTTGCGAGAGAATCTGCACTCATGGGAGCACAGTGATTGGTTGTTCAAGCATTTGTCCAGTAATTCTGTAGGAAACACAAGTTCCTTAATATGGTGGAAAATACAGTACTTTATTATGTTATAGACCGATTGGTGACACTGTATTTAAGTGGACAATCAAAATCCAGAAAAAAATATTAAATAGTATTAGAGAATTTTGAGAAAGCTTAGATGCACATGGTGGCAGCTGCTGCTGTGCTCATTAACACAGTCAAAATGACTTTTATAATTACCTATGTCTGCTTTCTGGGGATGAACTCAAGCTTTGCAGTCTGCCTCTTTAACATTAAACCCATTGATGTGAAAGAGCCATCATTTCTATGTTCTAACATAAGTATAATGTTACATGCTCTCCATATAAAGGGGCTCTTGGCATGTTTGCCAAATTGTTACACTCCATTGTACAAACATGTATCATACTAAAATAAAACTGTTATTTTTTTTTTTCAACAAACCGGCCAGTATCCCACCAAGGCAGGGTGGCCCAAAAAGAAAAACGGAAGTTTCTCTTTTTAAATATAGTAATTTATACAGGAGAAGGGGTTACTAGGCCCTTGCTCCTGGCATTTTAGTCGCCTCTTACAACACGCATGGAAAACTGTTATTGTTTGTTAATTATAAGTTAGAAAACAGAAGAGATGAAGATAGTGCTTACTCTCAACAACGATGGAGTTTGGGGGTACACGGTAGTCCTGATTGAAATATATGTAACCATTAACTGCCTTAGCTTCAAGACGCTCCTTCACATTGCTTAGGGTGACAGGTGCTGTCAGGTAACCGCTATCCTGCTCATTGAAATAAGTCCATCCAATTCTGAACGTACAAATAATACTCCCGGGCCTGCAATATCACCTTAATATTAGAGGTTTTAGTTTTTACACCATTAGAATGGGTAGTGGAAGGCAAGAAATATAATGGATAGAAGGAATGCATTTTCAAAGTCTCTAACAATATGTCAGTGAATAGAGATAATTTCATCAGGGAAATAGTTTTGCAAACTTTTCCTCAAAAGGCAACTTGTAATACTACAGTACTGTATGACCCTTACAGATTTAGTGTTTTTCATGAATATACAGTAAATAATAATAATAATAATAATAATAATAATAATAATTTCTTTTAATACTGTATGCAAAATTACCTTACAGATTTTTCTTTTTTAACACAACGGCCATTTCCCACCGAGGCAGGGTTACCCAAAAAGAAAGAAAAATACTTTCATCATCATTCAACACTTTCACTATCACTCATACATAATCGCTGTCTTTGCAGAGGCACTCAGATACGACAGTTTAGAAGTCCCTCCCAAACTGCCAATATCGCAAACCCCTCCTTTAAAGTGCAGGCATTGTACTTCCATTTCCAGGACTCAAGTCTGGCTAACTGGTTTCCCTGAATCCCTTCACAAAATATTACCCTGCTCACACTCCAACAGCTCGTTAAATCCCAAAAACCATTCGCCTCCATTCACTCCTATCTAACACGCTCATGCATGCTTGCTGGAAGTTCAAGCCCCTTGGCCACAAAACCTCCTTTTCCCCCTCCCTTCAACCTTTTTGAGGATGACCCTACCCAGTCTTCCTTCCCCTACAGATTTATACACTCCCAAGTCATTCTTCTTTGTTCCAGTCTTTCTAAATGACCAAATCACCTCAACAACCCCTCTTCAGCCCTCTGACTAATACTTTTAGTAACCACACCTCCTCCTAATTTCCACACTCCAAATTCTCTGCATAATATTTACACCACACATTGCCCTTAGACATGACATCTCCACTGCCTCCAGCCATCTCCTTGCCGCAGCATTTGCAACCCAAGCTTCACACCCATATGAGAGTGTTGGTACCACTATACTTTTGTACATTCCCTTCTTTACCTTACAGATATGTCAGTAAAAAGACTAAATGGGGCACTAATGGTTCACAATCAGATAACTTATCAGTTAACAAACCACACATACCAATGAATGAACAAATGAAGAGGTTTAGTTAGTTTAATATCTTTATTATGCACCTCATACCCATCCTGTGGGTGGTAGTCAAAGGATTACAGAGGTACATAATGGGTCCAGGGACTGGGCCTCAAAGTTTTGCTAGCTGAGCAAGTTACAAAGGTAATGAATCATCTACACATCTATACATGGTCACAATCATGAACAAATTACAAAGAACTAAAAACTCACTCGAATTTGAGGATCTTGAGATTTAACCTAGCCTTTCCGTTGTAGACCTCATCTACGCTGAAGAGCGCTGCCGACAACTGAAAATTAAAAGTATCTAATAACACCTATTACTTAACATGAATGCTGCATTATATAATCAGTTTATCCAAACTTGTAGCCCAACTCATCTTACATAAACAGGTCACCGGATAGACTGGTAGACCCTCTGAAGTGCCCTCATCTTATAACTAAGTCACCCACACTGTTACCTCACTGACCCAGCCATTCACCTGACTAAGCATGTATAAATTTGCTTATTATGCAACCCTGTGCAGTGAATGAAAAAAATTTTTACAAGTGAAATATCTCGGTAATGTTCCTCTCTGCAACTGTGCCATGATGGCTCCAGTTTCTTAAACACATTACTTTTCCTTCATAAGCTGAACAAAAAAGTAAACACTAGAGCACATAACCTGGGGCAGCTTTGTAACAAAATATAAAATATCTATAACTGATTCACCTGACAGAACTATATCTAGTGTCTAACAATCTTGTAAATAAATTATTTCAATGTTATCCTTTCATCTCCATGGATGAAGTGGTTGAGAATTCTTCATCCTGAAGCCATGTATATCATAAACTGTGGCTAAAATTCTGGGAGCAAGGGGCTAGTAACCCCCCCTCTCCTGGAGGACAAAGGAGAACGTTTTACAGGTGGGTTGTATGAATGTGTGGGAGAAGTATGGACACAAAGGAAGAATTGACTGTAAATATTATGATTAAAAAGAAGCTGAATAATCTAGTTTCTAAGTGAAATGAAGTTAAAGGGAGTGGGAGAATTTCAGTAAGGAGAAGTAAATGGGATTACGTCAGGTGTATCTGAGAGAATCAGAGCTAAGGAAGGAGTAGAAGTAATATTAAATGATCAATTATGGAAAGAGAAAGAGAGAATATAAGTGTATAAATTCAAGAATTATGTGGATTAAAATAAGAGTGGAATGTGACAAGTGAAAAATAATAAGCATTTATGCACCTGGGAGAAAAAGAAGTGAAGAGATTTTGGGAGGTAAAAGGTGAGTGTTTAGAAAGCTCTGAACCAAAAATTGCTGTGGGGACCAAAATGCTAAGAAACTATTGCAGAGGGCATACTAGAGGTACGTTTGGAATGCTGGGGTAAATGATACTATGGAGAACAACTGAGCTATGTATAGGAAAAGGTTTAGTACTTGATGTACCTGAAGTATACTGGGAGGGTGTTCTAGGGTCAACACCCCCACAACCTGGTCAATGACCAGGCCTCACAATGGATCGGTTCTGACCAACCAGGCTGTTACTGCTGGCCACACACAAACCGATGTATGAAGACAGCCAGGGGTGGTCTATTGGTAATCCCCCTTATGTATGCTGGGAAGCAGTTGAACTGTCTTGGGCCCCTGACACTTATTTTGTCTCTTAGTGTAATAATAACACCCTGCTTTTCACTGGACAATGTTGCACTGCCTGCTGAGTCTTTTGCTTTCGTATGGAGTGATTTCTGCATGCAGATTTGGGGCTAGTCCTTCGAGGATTTTCCAAGTGTAAATTCCCAGGAGTACAGGTCAAGGGACTTCAACCATTTTTAGTAAATGAGGTGCTTTATTGTGCTTATATGCACAGTGAAAGTTCTCTGTATATTCTCCAGGTATGCAATTTTGCCTGCCTTGAAAGGGGCCAGTAGTGTACAGCAGTACTCCAGCCTAGAGAGAAGAAACAATTTGAAAAGAATCATCACTGCCTTGGCATCCCAAATTTTGAAGGTTCTCATTATCCATCCTATCATTTTCCTACCTGATGTGGTAGAAACATTGTTCTGTTCTTTGAAAGTGAGATTCTCTGGTATTACCACTCCCAGGTCCTTCACATTAGTTTTTGCTCTATTGTGTGGTTGGAATTTGTTTTATACTCCAATCCAGTTTTTGGTTTCTCAAGTTTTCCCTAGCAAAGTAATTTAAATTTTTCCTCATTGAACTTCATGTTGTTTTCTGAGGGCCATTTAAAGACTTGGTTAATGTCCTCTTGTAGATTTGCAGTGTCCTTGATGGATGACACTGCCATGCAAATTCTGGTATCGTCAGCAAAGGAGGACACGGTGCTGTGGCTTTCATCTCTGTCTATGTCAGATATGAGAATAAGGAACAGGATAGGGGCAAGTACAGTGCCTTGTGGAACAGAGCTTTCACTGTAGCTGCATCTGATTTCACTGTTTACTATTATTTTTTGCATTCTGCATGTGTTCTATTTGAAGAAAAACTCTATAACAGTCTCTTCTGTTTTGGGTCACTATGCCTTGGTGGAAATGACTGGTATATTGAACAAAACAACAACAATAATAATAGTATCATAATAATACCTAGGTAGTAGGTTGGGAGATAGCAACCACCCAGGGAGGTATTACCGTCCTGCCAAGTGAGTGTAAAATGGAAACCTGTAATTGTTTTACATGAGGGTAGGACTGCTGGTGTCTTTTTTGTCTCATAAACTGGAACTGATGGGATCATGACAGAAATGTTAAAAGAAGGGGGGATATAGTGTTGGAGTGGTTGGTACTTTTGTTTAATAAATGTATGAAAGAGGGGAAGGTACCTAGGGATTGGCAGAGAGCATGTATAGTCCCTTTATATAAAGGGAAAGGGGACAAAAGAGATTGTAAAAATTATAGAGGAATAAGTTTATTGAGTATACCAGGAAAAGTGTACGGTAGGGTTATAATTGAAAGAATTAGAGGTAAGACAGAATGTAGGATTGCAGATGAGCAAGGAGGTTTCAGAGTGGGTAGGGGATGTGTAGATCAAGTGTTTACATTGAAGCATATATGTGAACAGTATTTAGATAAAGGTAGGGAAGTTTTTATTGCATTTATGGATTTAGAAAAGGCATATGATAGAGTGGATAGGGGAGCAATGTGGCAGATGTTGCAAGTATATGGAATAGGTGGTAAGTTACTAAATGCTGTAAAGAGTTTTTATGAGGATAGTGAGGCTCAGGTTAGGGTGTGTAGAAGAGAGGGAGACTACTTCCCGGTAAAAGTAGGTCTTAGACAGGGATGTGTAATGTCACCATGGTTGTTTAATATATTTATAGATGGGGTTGTAAAAGAAGTAAATGCTAGGGTGTTCGGGAGAGGGTGGGATTAAATTATGGGGAATCAAATTCAAAATGGGAATTAACACAGTTACTTTTTGCTGATGATACTGTGCTTATGGGAGATTCTAAAGAAAAATTGCAAAGGTTAGTGGATGAGTTTGGGAATGTGTGTAAAGGTAGAAAGTTGAAAGTGAACATAGAAAAGAGTAAGGTGATGAGGGTATCAAATGATTTAGATAAAGAAAAATTGGATATCAAATTGGGGAGGAGGAGTATGGAAGAAGTAAATGTTTTCAGATACTTGGGAGTTGACGTGTCGGCGATGGATTTATGAAGGATGAGGTTAATCATAGAATTGATGAGGGAAAAAAGGTGAGTGGTGCACTGAGGTATATGTGGAGTCAAAAAACGTTATCTATGGGTGTGAAGCTTGGGTGGTAAATGCAGCAGCGAGGAGATGGTTGGAGCAGTGGAGATGTCCTGTCTAAGGGCAATGTGTGGTGTAAATATTATGCAGAAAATTCGGAGTGTGGAAATTAGGAAAAGGTGTGGAGTTAATAAAAGTATTAGTCAGAGGGCAGAAGAGGGGTTGTTGAGGTGGTTTGGTCATTTAGAGAGAATGGATCAAAGTAGAATGACATGGAAAGCATATAAATCTATAAGGGAAGGAAGGCGAGGTAGGGGTCGTCCTTGAAAGGGTTGGAGAGAGGGGGTAAAGGAGGTTTTGTGGGCAAGGGGCTTGGACTTCCAGCAAGTGTGCGTGAGCGTGTTAAATAGGAGTGAATGGAGACGAATGGTACTTGGGACCTGACGATCTGTTGGAGTGTGAGCAGGGTAATATTTAGTGAAGGGATTCAGGGAAACCGGTTATTTTCATATAGTCGGACTTGAGTCCTGGAAATGGGAAGTACAATGCCTGCACTTTAAAGGAGGGGTTTGGGATATTGGCAGTTTGGAGGGATATGTTGTGTATCTTTATACGTATATGCTTCTAAACTGTTGTATTCTGAGCACCTCTGCAAAAACAGTGATTATGTGTGAGTGTGATGAAAGTGTTGAATGATGATGAAAGCATTTTCTTTTTGGGGATTTTCTTTCTTTTTTGGGTCACCCTGCCTCGGTGGGAGACGGCCAACTTGTTGGAAAAAAAAAAAAAAACATGCAAGATTTCAGGTACATCTTGCTACTTCTACTTACACTTAGCTCACACTACATATGCTTGTACAGGCACATATATACACACCCCTCTGGGTTTTCTTCTATTTTCTTCCTAGTTCTTGTTCTTGTTTATTTCCACTTATCTCCATGGGAAAGTAAACAGAATTCTTCCTCCATAAGCCATGGGTATCATAAGAGGTGACTAAAATGCCAGGAGCAAGGGGCTAGTAACCCCTTCTCCTGTAGACACTAGTAAATTTAAAAAGAGAAACTTTCATTTTTCTTTTTGGGCCACCCTGCTTCAGTGGGATACAGCTGGTTTGTTGAAAGAAAGAAAGATCATAATAATAATACTGACTGTGTGGAGTGATATCTAAACTGTCATATCTGAGTGCCTCCAAAGAGAGTGAGTGTAAATGATGGTGAAAGTGATGAATGATGATGAAAGTGTTTTCTTTCTTTTTTGAATCAGCCTACCTCAGTGGGAGATGGCCGATGTGTTGAAAAAAAATGATGTAATGTTTTTCCTGCCACTTTAAGCAAAGACTTCTTAAATGATTTTAGAAATATTTTTGTAACCTCACACCTATAAAGAGATGCATACTGATTCTAATGTGATCATTTTAATTTATATTTGCAATAACTTTAAATTTATCTGAAGCTTACCTCTTCCTCTAAGGCATTGGCAAGTTCCTTAAAGGTTTCCGAATCTTCATCTGTTAGTTCATTTGTAAAGTTGTGATTGTCTATTTTGAACTTCACTTCTATGGCATTAGGAACTGAAACATTAAACATAATAAAGTAACAGACTGAATAATATAGAGATGTTCAAGTTACTTAGATCAACTATGGATAGACTGAGCTTTAGGATGATGATACAATGAAACTGCACTCCCCTTCCCTGGGTCAGACTTAATCACCTTCCATTCTCCAGGATCTGTATAATCTAACTAAGGGTGTAATGCTTCCCCATGCCATAAATGCAATAATAACAGTACTAACCTCACCTTGGCCTTGCACAGTTCATATAAAGGGAGTAGGAAGCTTGTGATGTATGGAAGAGCTCAGGAATAAACAAGGCAAAGCTAATCATGGAACAGGTGGGATTTCAACCCAAGGCGAGTGAGTAGTAAAACTGGAGGTCAGTAGTGTAAACCACTCAGCCAGCTGGCCGAGTGGTTTACGCACTGGCCTGCAGTTTTATGACTCACTTGCTGTGGCTTCAAACCCAATCTATTCTGTGGTTTGTTTACAATTTTGTGACAGTCGAACCTCGGTTGTCAATTGCATTAGTTGTCGAATAAATCGGTTTTCAAATGAGCTGTTTGAGAAAAAAATATCCTGGTTTTCATATGTTCTCTTGGTTGTCGACAGACAAGTTTTCACATGTATGGAAGGGGACAAAGGGGCTCAGGTCACATGCTCATGGAATGTGCACTGGACAATGCCTCTTAACACCACTCCTCTCATCCAAACCATGGACCAGGAGGTCCTTTCTAACTTCAAGAAACTCTACACCAAAGCACTTTTTGAAAGGTGCTTCGACGTCACTTCAGAAGCAAATTTAACCCTCAGGGAGTTCTGGAAGGACCATTTTAATATTCTCACCTGCTTGAGACTTATAGACAAAGCCTGAGAAAATGTGTCTTCCAGGACCATGCAGTCAGCATGGAAGAAATTGTGGCCTAACTTCATGGCAGCTAGGGATTCTGAAGGATTTGAAGCTAAGCCTGAGCCAGTAGAGGACACTGTGCCCCTGGGGAAGACCTTGGGGCTAGAGGTGACTGAAGATAATGCGGAGGAGTTGGTAGAGGATCACAGAACTGAACTCACCACAAAAGAACTTATAGACCTTCAAAAGGAGCAGCAACAGATTGCAGCAGAGGAGCTGTCATCAGAGGAAGAGGAGGAAGGGATGATGTGCCCACTGCACTTGTCAAGGATATGTGTGCTAAATGGCATGAAGTGCAGGAGTTTGCTGAAAAATATCATCCAGACAAAGCAGTGGCCATTTGTCTCTCTAACATGTACAATGACAGTATAATGTCTCAATTCAGACAAGTGTTAAAATGAAGCCTGAAACAAACCTCACTGGACAAAAGACCAGTGAGCCAGAACAAGGAGTTAGTGGTGAAAAGAGACAAAGAAGAGAAACAACACCAGGACAGTTGCCTGACATACTAAGAGAAGGTGACTCTCCTTCCAAGAAGTAACATACCCCCTCCTCTCCTCCGCCTCCTGCTTCCAGTATGCCATTAGCTCTCCTCTGACAGATAAGAGGCAGTTAAATTTTCATTTACTGTACAGTATTTCAGTTAGTTTCTTTAGAATTAATTTTTACAGTTTTATGTAGTAGTTAGTACATTTTTAATAAATTATTATATTGTCATTTAGGGTCTGGAATGGATTATTCTATTTACATTATTCTTTATGGGAAAAACTGCTTTGGTTGTCGTTGATTTTGGTTGTCAAATCAACATCTGGAATGAATTAAATTCGAAACCCAAAGTTCCAGTGTAAAGTAGATCGTCATTTAACATGGTTTTGTCTGGCATATTTTGGTTATAGCATGACTGAAGAATTGCGGCATATTTTTGTATAACACGTCGTAAAATTAACTTAAACACGATTCGCGGGAGGGGAAAAAATTTTGAGCGCGTCACCCGTGGGATACGTACCATCCTCTGCTAGGAGTTTATATCTTTTTCTTGCCATATCTTAACTCTGCTAAGCAATCATGGCACCCAGTAGGCATAAAGTGTTGCTGAAAGTGGCAAGAAAAGGTTTAAGCGTTTAGTCTTAGAATTAACGAAGACAATAGAGATATTAGACAAGTGATAGCAAGTGGCCATAATGAAGCGTCTCTTTGTACACATAAAAAGAATGAGGTAAATATGAGTGTGTGATGACTGACTGATTTACTGACTGACTTAAAGTTAGACTTTTTCACATAAGAGGACCCTGAAACGGTGTCTAAAGCAGCTGATGCTTTACCGTCAGTTGTATAATGTACTGCATGGTAAAATAGAACAGAAATCCATCACAGAATTTATGCACACTCCAGTACAACCATCGACTTAGTATCAGTACCGCTACCATCCACCTCAGCCCAGTAGAGCCACAGCATAACTCTCCACAATCATCCACAAACACCAGCATCCACAATTTAAGGTAAGAAATACTATTATTTCTGTTGCATTTGTAATCTTAAGCAGTAAAAAGAACATAATACATCACGACAATGAACTACAATTACATATTCACTTTTATTTTTGTAAGATCTGGAGGTCTAAAAAAAAGTTTGGTTTTTTGGGGCTCCCAGGAACTTAACCCTATTTTTTCCATAAGTTCTTCAGTTTGTCGAGCACGATTTTAATTAAAACAGCATTTTCAGGAATGTAACTGTGTTAAACGACAGTCTACTGTATTACAGTTTCATGAGTTGAGGGCAAGACTGTATCTACACCCTTCAAGGGAGGTGCCTTCATGTAAATGAAGGGCTCTTGATAAAAGAATTTGAGGCATTTTCGTTTCTTTAGATTAAAAAAGTATCCAAAACGGTTGGGATCCTCTCCAAGATACGATACTACGTGCCGCAAACTGCCCTTATCACACTATACCATTACTTATATATCCATACCTCACCTATGCTATTTGTGCTTGGGGATCAACTGCAGCAACACACCTAAAGCCAATAATAACCCAACAAAAAGCTGCAGTAAAAATAATCACTAAATCCCATCCCTGGCAACACCCCCCCCCCCACTCTTCATAGATCTAAACTTACTCCCTGTTCAGTACATCCACACTTACTACTGTGCAATCTACATCTACAGGACCTTAAACTCCAATATCAACCTTGACCTAAAATGCTTTCTTGATAGTTGTGACAGAACCCACAGGCATAACACCAGACACAAACATCTCTACGACATTCCCCGTGTCCGACTAAACCTTTACAAAAATTCAATGTATGTCAAAGGCCCTAAAATCTGGAACACCCTACCTGAGAACTCTAGAACTGCAGACACATTCATCACCTTCAAAACTACCATTAGAAAACATCTTATCTCCCTGATACACCCCATCAACTAACTACACGAATACCACCTGGTGGTTCACACATACACTCACTCACCCATTTGACCATAAACAGAAATATTAATCTCAATCTTAAAATAATGAATCCTATGATACTTCAATACTGAAACTATGTACTGTGCCAAAACAAAAGCATTCACATTGCTAAACTCACAAACTAGTATTTAGTCACTTAGCCATAATACCAACTTACCTCATAATTTGTAATATTTTAAAATAAAGAATTAAACTAAGTCTGCCCGAAATGCCTAGCCATGCTAGGCGTTCTAGTGGTACACTCTGTAATCATTATTTAACTACATGTAAACCACACAACAACCAAATTCTGTAAATTCAACATTGTAATCTTTATAGAGAATAAACTTTGAATTTGAATTTGAAATCTGATTTTCTCCAGATCCTCAGGTGTAGTATGACCCCTACAGGTTCAGTGCTCCTCCCCCTTGAATACAATAAAAATAAGAGGTAATATCTTTGCAATCACTCAGCCAGTTATTGGCTAAGTTCAACTGTGTTAATCTAACTATTATTACTGTATGTATTATAGGCTTTCAAATTATGATACTTTTTTATACTAGTTTGGAATAAGAATTATAATTATCATTAACATAATCCACTGATCTATGCCTATACATTAAAATTACTATTGGTAGAAACTCATTCTGAAAGAAACTGAGGTTAGACAACAACTTTGACTTATTCAAATCTTCTAGAACTCTTATTATATGACAAACACAGATGCAAATTGAAAGAAAGAATGATGGACATGAAAAGGATGAGGAGGGAGGGGAACGAACAAAGTGGAATTTGTAAGGATGATATGAGAGGTGAAAATATGAGTGGAAGGTGGAGGGAAAAAGAAAAAGAGGTGAAAGTACAAGGGAAGAAAGTGAAACAGAGTCTGACTTACCATAATGGAGGACTGGTGAAGTAGTAGAGTGTACTTGTGAAGAGCCTCCCCCTGACAGCTCACTGCTCTGTATACCTTGTCCGTAGTCAGTAATTTTCCTCAATTTTCCCGCTGAGGTGATATATCAGAGACGTATTAACATCAAAAAACCACATAGGCTACTATTATACTAACATTGGATAGCCTACATAGCTACCTCTGGATCAAGCACAAATATTTATAATATTTATCTATAGAAAGAACATAACAAATTTAACAAAATATTTACCTATAAAAAGAGCATAGCAAATGTACAGTAATTAATATCCACCAGTTGGTCAAGCCCATTAAACCTTTCACTGTTGCAACACCTGTAAATGAAAGCTTTGATGCTGTCAGGATTTAAAAAAATATCTTCTGAAGTGGTAAAGAATCCTTTTCTAAAGGTAATAACACCCAAAATGCCAAATTTTAAAGAAAACTTATGGAATTACACAGACACAAATCTGGCGCTCTAGATGTAATTTGTTTCAGCAATTTTGCTCAATCCAAGTCCTATTTTAAGCCAATTCCAATGCTCGGTTCAGTCCATTCATAGCTATTTTGCTAGTATGCCTTCCCTTCTATTGACTGAGCAAAAGAAACTACACATTCAGCTGCAAAGACATTAGTAATTTGGCCAGTTTTATACAAAATTAAAAAAATATCTCATTTAAAAATAGTCCAACATAAATACTGTAAGCATTCCAGCCACTAAAGCAATATTTTATCTGTTCATTAATAACATGTGAGAACTACACATGCTGATCTGCAATGTCAGGAACACACTCGAAACAAAATAGACTTACTCTCCTTAACTGTAATTCTTCCAAACACTAAATAACTGTAAACATAAAATTCCTAAAATTATCATCATCTTAATCTTAAGTCCTAAGTTAGCCTGCAATACTCTGCTATATAGGGGCTTTCAACTTTGTAAAAACATTGTAACATACCAAGATAAAACTATTCCCATTACTAAATTACACTAATTGTAATACTATTGTTTTTTCTACCTCGCTATTATAAATCTTATTATCATAAAATTCTTGATTACCTAACTTTTGTAAAAATGTGAACTAATTAGCATTAGAATGTACCACTCCAGAATTAGGATTATTTTGCCCAAAATGCCAAGGCATGTTAGTGGCTTTCTTTGTACTTCATATTTTGTAATATGTAAGCCTCACATTGTAAACTTTACGAAGAAATAAAATTCTGAATTTGAATTTGAACATCCTCTTCTATATAACAAGTCCCCTCAAAGCCGTCAACATGACTCACAAAATCATAATGACACGATTGCAAACAAACCATACCACGGGCGGGATTTGAACCCGTGGTCAGAGTCTCAGAACTCCAGATCGTCGCGTTAGCCACTGGGCCAGCTAGCTTCAATAAGATTCGTCCAACTAGGTGTATTTCTACACCGTAGGAAGGTTAGCATAGGCACCACTGTGTCCACAAATGCAAGTTTGTGGTTTGTTTGCAATCGTGTCATTACGATTTCATAAGTCATGTTGATGGCTTTGAGGGGACTTGAGCTAGAGTTCGTCACGGCTGTGCTAGCGGGAGATTCGTCTGTAAAAACTTGCATTTGTGGACACAGTGGTGCCTATACAAACCTTCCTATGGTGTAGAAGTACACCTAGTTGGACGAATCTTATTGAAGCTAGCTGGCCCAGTGGCTAACGCGACGGTCTGGAGTTCTGAGACTCTCTGACCGCGGGTTCAAATCCCGCCCGTGGTATGGTTTGTTTGCAATCATGTCATTACGATTTCGTGAGTCATGTATTATGGTGCACTATGATATATAAGTTCCGTACTTTGTAAATTATGCTGATGACTGGATGCAAACATTGAAATAATAAATGTACTATACTATAACTAAGAATACAGTGCTTTTATCTATTTTTACAAGTGCATGAAAAATGCAATTGTGTGGATAAATGTACACATTCATTTGGCAAGTTTAACCCTTTGACTGTCGCGGCCGTATATATACGTCTTACGAGGTACAGTGTTTGATGTACAGTGGACCCTCGCATACCGTTGGCATCACATAACGTTAAATCCGCATACCGATACATTTTATCGCTAAAATTTTGCCTCGCATACCACTAAAAAACTCGCTCAACGCTATTCGTCTGAGACGCGTCTAATGTGCGGCCTGAGCCAGCCTCACATGTTCCGCCGATGGCACTGTTTACCAGCCAGCCTCAGCGGTAACATCCAAGCATACAATCAGAACATTTCGTATTATTGCAGCATTTTTTAGTGATTTCATCTGCAAAATAAGTGACCATGGGCCCCAAGAAAGCTTCTAGTGCCAACCCTACAGGAATAAGGGTGAGAATTACTATAGAGATGAAGAAAGAGATCATTGCTAAGTATGAGAGTGGAGTACGTGTCTCCGAGCTGGCCAGGTTGTATAGTAAACCCCAATCAACCATCGCTATTATTGTGGCCAAGAAAACGGCAATCAAGGAAGCTGTTCTTGCCAAAGGTGCAACTGTGTTTTTGAAACAGAGATCAAAAAGTGATTAGATGTTGAGAGACTCTTATTGGTGTGATAAAGAAAAAACAGATAGCAGGAGATAGCATCTCTCAAGCGATCATAATGAAAAGGCTAGGAAGTTGCATCAGGATTTAATTAGAAAAATGCCTGCAACTAGTGATGATGTGAGTGAATTTAAGGCCAGCAAAGGTTGGTTTGAGAGATTTAAGAAGCGTAGTGGCATACATAGTGTGATAAGGCATGGTGAGGCTGCCAGCTCGGACCACAAAGCGGCTGAAAAATATGTGCAGGAATTCAAGGAAATACATAGACAGTGAAGAACTGAAACCTGAACAAGTGTTTTAATTGTGACGAAACAGGCCTGTTTTGGAAGAAAATGCCAAGCAGGACCTACATTACTCAGGAGGAAAAGGCACTCCCAGGATATAAGCCTATGAAGACAGGCTTACTCTTCTCATGTGTTCCAATGCTAGTGGTGATTGCAAAGTGAAGCCTTTATTAGTGTATCACTCTGAAACTCCCAGAGCGTTCAGGCAAAAGAATATCCTCAAGGCTAATTTGTGTGTGCTGTGCAGGGCAAACAGTAAGGCATGGGTCACTAGGGACTTTTTCTATGACTGGTTACACCAAGCATTTGCCCCCAATGTGAAAAATTACCTAACTGAAAAGAAATTAGATCTTAAGTGCCTCCTGGTGTTAGACAATGCCCCTGGTCATCCTACAGACTTGGCAGAGCAGCTTTGTGGGGACATGAGCTTCATTAAGGTCAAGTTTTTGCCTCCTAATACCACTCCTCTCCTGCAGCCCATGGACCAGCAGGTTATTGCAAACTTCAAAAAACTGTACACAGAAGCTCTGTTTGAAAGGTGCTTTGTAGTGACCTCAGAAACTCAATTGACTCTAAGAGAGTTTTGGAGAGAGCACTTTAATATCCTCAATTGTGTAAACCTTATAGGTAAGGCTTGGGAGGGAGTAACTAAGAGGACCTTGAACTCTGCTTGGAAGAAACTGTGGCCAGAATGTGTAGACCAAAGGGATTTTGAAGGATTTGAGGCTAACCCTGGGAATCCTATGCCAGTTGAGGAATCCATTGTGGCATTGGGAAAGTCCTTGGGGTTGGAGGTTAGTGGGGATGATGTGGAAGAGTTGGTGGAGGAGGACAATGAAGAACTAACCACTGATGAGCTGCCAGATCATCTTCATCAGCATGAGGCCACACCTGAGGAAGCTGCTTCGGAGGAGGGGAGAGAGAAATTGAAGAAGTTGCCTACTTCAAAGATTAAGGAAATCTGTGCAATGTGGCTTAAAGTGCAAACCTTTATGGATGAAAATCACCCTCAGACAGCTGTTGCAAGCCGTGCTGGTGAACATTACACTGACAATGTTGTGAACCACTTTAGGAAAGTTATAAAGGAATGAGAGGTACAGACCTCTATGGACAGATATGTTGTGGGACAGAAGTCCAGTGACTCTGAAGCTGGTCCTAGTGGCATTAAAAGAAGAAGGGAAGTAACCCCGGAAAAGGACTTGACACCTCAAGTTCTAATGGAAGGGGATTCCCCTTCTAAACACTAAGACTATCAACACTCTCCCCTCCTCCCATCCCATCAATCATCACCAGATCTTCAATAAAGGTAAGTGTCATGTAACTGTGCATGTCTTCTTCAGTTTGTGTGTATTAAAATTAATATTTCATGTGGTAAAATTTTTTTTTTTCATACTTTTGGGTGTCAGGAATGGATTAATTTGATTTCCATTATTTCTTATGGGGAAAATTCATTCGCATAACGATAATTTCGCATAACATTGAGGTCTCAGGAACGGATTAATAGCACTATGCGAGGGTCCACTGTATATATACTCGTAAATTCTAGCGGCTTCAAATCAAGAAATGAGAAAGCAGGTAGGCCCACATGTGAGAGAATGGGTCTGTGTGGTCAGTGTGCACCATATAAAAAAAATCCTGGAGCACGCAGTGCATAATGAGAAAAAAAACTGACCGTTTTTTAATTACAATGCCGAATTTGTGGTCTATTTTTGTATAGTATTTATGGTTGTATTCTCGTTTTCTTGGTCTCATTTGATAGAATGGAAAACATATTATAGAAATAGAGGTGATTTTGATTGATTTTACTATAAAAAGAACCTGGAAATGGAGCTCAAAGTAGGGGAAATGTTTGATTTTTGCCGATGTTCAAAAGTAAGCAAATGATGTCATTGTCCAATAAATGTCCAACTAGCCATTCTAATATGCAGTCATGAATGGGTTGATGTTATGTATACAATTATTACAGTATTGCAGTAGTCTGCATAATAGTAAATCTTCTATTTTTTGTTTGAATAAAAATTCAAAATAGAAAGCAAGAGTAATATCAGAGGGGCCTGGAGACATGACTGATGAACAAAGAAAATGTTATTTTAGCGCCAGGAATGTCTGCATTGTTCATTCTGGACCTTATTTTGAAATTGTCATATTTTTTTAATTTTCGTGAAATTGGCCAAATTGCAAATTTCTGACCATGTTAATGGGTAGGTGAAATTGGTAAATGGGCAGTTTCTTGTACTCAATCGATAGAAAAAAATGGAGTTCTAAAGAAATAGCTATGCGTTTGGGCGACTGGAACACTGGAATTAGCCTAAAATAGGGCTCAAAGTGGGCGAAATCGCCGATTTGTAAATATCGCCGAGGTCGCTAACTTCACGAGAGCGTAATTCCGTCAGTTTTCCATCATATTTTGTTTTTTTGGTGTCGTTACAATGGGGAAAAGATTCTCTATCATTTCATAAGAAAAAATTATTTATTTTTTTTTTTTTAAATTTTGCGACACCAGGAGACACCTCAGGATTGGGGGTTGCGACAGTCAAGGGGTTAAGGATACAATTGAGCTTTTGAAGGTATATACAGACATTAGATATACAGTGGACCTCAGGATTTTGTAGTCATCGGATTTCGTAGTCATTCATCCCGAACTTGTCCGAGCAGCCTGACACACCATTTACAGTCAGTGTGTCATTGGTTATCAGCCAGTGAGCACAATCCCACGCATTCACACGATACATTTCGTAATATTCCATTTGTTTTAGTGCTTGCAACTGCTTAATAAGCCACCATGGGCCAAAAGAAAGCTCCTAGTGCCAGCCCTTTGGTAAAGGCGATAAGCACAATAGAATTCAAGAAAGAACACACCAGCCAGGGTACTTCCCCACACACACCAGCCAGGGCACTTCCCCACACACCAGCCAGCATACTCCCCCATACACCAGCCAGGGTACTTCCCCACACACCAGCCAGGGTACTTCCCCACACACCAGACAGGGTACTTCCCCACACACACGATTTGATTTGAGTGGAACTTGCACATGAGTGAATAGAATTATCAAAGCTTACTGCTTGGGAAGCATTGAAAATTGGGTTGGGCAAATATGATTCTGTTAGTGGGATGGTTTGTGAAGGACCTGCCTAGTATGGGCCAACAAGCCTGCTGCAGTGTTCCTGCTTTCTTATGGCCTTATGTGCACCAGCTGAGGAAATTGCTTCAGAGGAGGAGAAAGAGAGAGGGAAGAAGGTGCCTTCTTCAAAAGATTAAGGCCATTTGTGCAAAGTGGAGTGAGGTGCAAACATCTGTAGAGGAACATTGCTCTAACCCTCTCCCCTCCTCCCATCTTCCATACACCAACAAAAGTCTTCAATAAAGGTAAGTGTGATATTATTGTTTTATACTCAATTTCTCATTCTTTTCTGTATGTAAATCTATATTTAATCTATAAAAAAATAATTTTTGTTAAGACTTCTGGGTGTCTGGAATGGATTAATTGATTTACATTATTTCTTATGGGAAAAATGATTTCGGAAATCGTCAGATTCGGGTTTAGTCACTCTCTCTGGAACGGATTAATTATGATAACCAGGGGTCCACTGTAGCACTATACAGTGGACCCCCGCATAACGATCACCTCCGAATGCGACCAATTATGTAAGTGTATTTATGTAAGTGCGTTTGTACGTGTATGTTTGGGGGTCTGAAATGGACTAATCTACTTCACAATATTCCTTATGGGAACAAATTCGGTCAGTACTGGCACCAGAACATACTTCTGGATTAAAAAAATATCGTTAACCGGGGGTCCATTGTAATCCCTATAGGTTCTGTATTTTTTGGTGAATATAATATTAATAAGACATACATATGAAGTAGTGCATGGAACTGAGCACTTCTACTGGTTAGTGTACAGATGAACATGTACGCAGAACTGAACACTTCCTTTTTTAATTACTGCCTTTTCTGCCGAGCTTAACTACATTAACACTATACTATGCCTGAAATCATAGAACCAGTTTGAAACTACTCAAGTAATTCCAATTAACTAAAGAGCACTAAATTAATTTAATAAACACTTAATATTGTATTATTGTAAATTGTACTAATTGTAATATTTTTTGTTTGCAAATCCTCTATTATAAATTGTATTAATTATAAATTTTTTGCCACCCCTCTTTTCGTATTAATGTACATATAATTAAAATTCACCACTCCATAATGTATGTCTAGTTTTAAGTAGTGTGTAAGCATTAGTATTAGTCTGCCCAAAATGCTCATATGTGCTAGTGGTTGTCTTCGTGCTTAACAATATTTTACTACATGTGAACTACACATTGTTTATTATGCAAAAAAATAATTTTTGAATCTGAATTTGATTAGTGTAATGATAAATAATGAGATACTCACATCCATATAGTCCAGCAACAATAACAGAGCCTGTGAGCACCAACATGGCAGCACAGAACAAGAGGCACTTGCGTCCACCCTTGTCTCCAGTCATATTCGTTACCTCCAGATTCTTTCCACTGTGAAGATTAAGGTCAGTCAAAAATGGTTAAAACATATCACTGCAGGTCATTATATGTAAATATTAATATTTACATAAATATTTAAAAAAAAAATTTAATGACTTAATAAGGCCTTAACATTAAAAGAGGAAAGAAAATTCAATCAGATGAGCTAGACCATCATAAAACCTCAAAAATGAGCTTAAAAAAGGAAAGGCAGGGCATGAGAGCAACATGTGGCAGCAGAGTGACAAGTCTCAGGTGTGGAGGGAAGGGCACATTGCCATACAGGAAACAGAACATTAGGGTTAATCTATAACTACTCTGGTGATAGAACAGACACACAAAGTCTTTATTTCCTCCACCACATGCCCACAATTTTTATACTCTACTCGTTTTTCTTAATTTTTCTGATAGGTGGGATTATTATTCTTATTATTATTTTTCACACACCCTGCTAAGGCAGGGTGACCCAAAACAAGAAGAAAAAAAAATTTTTCTTTCTACGTTTTCCAATTTATACAGGAAAAGGGGTTACTAACCCTGTGCTCCTGTTGTTGTTGTTGTTGTTGTTGTTGTTGTTGTTTGTTGTTGTTGTTGTTGTTGTTGTTGTTGTTGTTGTTGTTGTTGTTGTTGTTGTTGTTGTTGTTGTTGTTGTTGTTGTTGTTGTTGTTGTTGTTGTTGTTGTTGTTGTTGTTGTTGTTGTTGTTGTTGTTGTTGTTGTTGTTGTTGTTGTTGTTGTTGTTGTTGTTGTTGTTGTTGTTGTTGTTGTTGTTGTTGTTGTTGTTGTTGTTGTTGTTGTTGTTGTTGTTGTTGTTGTTGTTGTTGTTGTTGTTGTTGTTGTTGTTGTTGTTGTTGTTGTTGTTGTTGTTGTTGTTGTTGTTGTTGTTGTTGTTGTTGTTGTTGTATTCATGGTGAGAGCAATAAACCCATATTAGTAATTTATTGCCTAGGGAATAGGAGGGGAAAGGGAGGTCAGGTTCAATTCCTTGGATCATGAACCCTCCTCAGCATCAAAAGTTATTGAGAACTCTCATGTATAGTATACTGCTGAAAGTTGAGGCATTAAAATATTTCACGAGAAACATTTCTTAATTATAGAAAAGCCATGATAAAAATAGTTCTATATATACTGTACTATGTTTCATTTATCTGTCTGGGAACTGCTGAGAAGACGGTTTTGCACTCCGGAGAGAGTAATCTTAACAAGCTATGTGCTTCCTGTCACATATCTACACATACTATACTCATATATCTGTGTACAAATTACCTCATGTGATGTATCTAGGATTCCACCCTAGACATGTCAGCTAGTAACCAGAGTCACTAGTCTATAATATGCAGGGTGATTACCGTGGCATTCAGTTCAATACCTCTGGGAAGCCTCATGGATGGCCAGACTATAAACCAGGAATTTTATGAAATCTCTCTGTATTATTATAGTATACCCAGACTGTAAGTGAGTATTGTGCTTAATGGTAAGTAAGTGTTCAATAACAAGATCTATTTACAAAAACTCATTGTAGCTATAATAAATGTTTGTCATCCATGCTAATTAGATATTACTGCTAATTCTAAATAAAATCTTCTACAGCAACTGTTATATTGACCCTTGTGGGTTTAGCACTTAGTTTTACCTTAATAATAATAATAATAATAATATTAATAATAATAATAAGACAGTTGTTTTCTTTGATAAGTTTCACTTCAGGGAAATTCATAAGAACCATCATATGAATTTCCCTGAAATGATTAATTTTCTGTGCTGTAGAGTATATACATTGTGTTGTCCCTCCAGCATGTGTATATGCACATGTTTTCCAAATAAAATACCATAATTAGCATACAGTATTCTGGTTCTTTTACATACATATTAAAAAAGTATAATAACTTTCTACTGAAGATTTAATTTGTTGATTCTCTCCAACAAATTTATTATAAATTGTGAAGAATGTTGACAGATGATCTATTAAACCAACTTTGCTAAACTTAAAGCTTTGTCTCTCATTATTTAGGATATCATTAGTCAACAGCTGATAAAAAATAACTACACAGATGGACCCCCATATCCATGGAGGATATATTCCAAGACCTACTGCAGATACCCGAAACCACAGATAGTAGCAAACGCTATGTATAAGTTGTTTTTCATTTACATACAGACCTATGATAAAGCTCAATTGATAAATTATGCACAATAAGTGGAGAATTAGCACTTTTTTCACTGATGGAAAGCACTTCAGGCTTCCCTTAGGCTTTGAAGAACTGCCTCCATCACTGCTTTTGCACTATGGGGCCATTATTAAGCAAAATTAAGGGTTATTTTTGAGCCAGGGTAAACTACAGATAACTGAAACTGTAGAAACCAGACCTGCAGATATGGTGGTTCTACTGTATAAACAAAGGGCCCCACTTTATAGCACTTCGCTTAACAGCATTTCACTAATGAAGTGGTTTTCATTGATACCTCTTCTTCGTTTATTCAAACTTCCTACAATAAATATATTCACCACTCACTATACGCTAAGAATGAAAATATTTTAAGGTAAGTAATGTGTGTTCTCCTTGGGGAAGTGGAACAGAATTCTTCTTTCATAAGCCATGCGTGTCATAAGAGGAGGCTAAAATACCGGGAGCAAGGGGCTAGTAACCCCTTCTCCTGTACATATTACTAAATTTAAAAGGAGAAACTTTTGTTTTTCCTTTTGGGCCACCCTGCCTTGGTGGGATATGGCCAATTTGTTGAAAGAAGAAGAAAAAGTAATGTGTGTACTGTATATGCATTTTTAAGGCCTGGCACTATTGTTCACTTAATTTATATGCTTTTATATGCATTTGAAAATGAAAAAAACCTATGATTCACTTTACAGAAATTTTTGCTTTACAACAGTAGCCCAGAACCTAACCTGGTGTACAAGTGGGGCCTCCTGTAAAGGTGAGATTTGAACTGCATCAAAACAAACTAAAGACCAGGATAACAATTACACCAAAGAGCTACACTGACATAATATTCCAATCAATCTTAAAATGGAACAAATTGCAAGAGAAAGAAATCTGATTCTGTGGCAACTTATTATGCAACCAAGACCAAACACATCAAAAACAGATGTATACATGTATATGGGCAGCGGATAATGTTTTCATATTTTATTTCTAAAAGAAGATTACACATTCATGTGTTTTCTTTGTACTAGCTGCAACCATTTTAATTTTTCCTTCATTACTGTTACTGTTATACTATACTGTTTTTGTCTAAGTATGTAATGTGACAAACTGAGCATGCCAGCTATTGCAAAATATCTCATTAAATGCAAGGTGTTTAACATAACAACTTTATAGTTAAAAAACAAGGACAATGGTTGAAGAAATAATAAAAGATAAATGAATATGATAGACATGGTACATAATAAAGAATAATGTTTGAACCTGTAATATTTCCTGAGCCTATAATTCACCTGTTGTATTCAGTTTTTGTAGCAGCATGATTATTGGCTTATTGTTTTTTCTGTTCAGATTTGACAAGTATAAACTGTGTTCAGCAAGAAGTCTTTGGCAAATGGTCAAAAAAAAAAAACATAAAAGTGTGGTACTTTGAGAAAAGGGAAGCAATGGAATCAACCAAGTAAGTGAAGTACAAAAAGACAGTATCCATACTTGCTAGAGAATCTATGGATGAAAAAATGCAAACATGAGTATTGCAACAAAATACAGTAAAACATTAGTCGTGACTTCAAATAAACTGACAGAGCCATGTTCAATAAATCATATTCTTTGTTCCAAATAATGATTTCACTTTTACTGAGGATTGCATATATTTTGCCAATCAGCTTGCAAAATTATCTGGGAAAAAGGAAAGGATATGATGCCTTTCCAGTAGGAACCCCTGACTTTAAATCAACCTTTCAATCAATATGCAAAGAACTCAATGACAATTGTGCTCACAATGTTGAAAGTGAGATTGCTTTTGCATAAAATCTGATTACTGCAGATGCAACTTAACATCAATTATGTAACACAAACTTCTGTAGAGAAGAAATGAATCCCATAGCTTACCAGGTTATAAATCATGATACAAAATCTCAACTTGGTTGACTTACTAATACTTGTAAAGAAGCATCATTCTAGATAGGGCATGGAAAACTTGACAGAAATTGATGATCAACAGGTAACCATTAGTGATCTTGTACATTGGTGATCAACAGATAACCATTAGTGATCTTGTACACTGGCAATGTCTACATTGCCAAATACACAAAGACAAAAACTGTATAAAGCTTAGGGTAAAATATCATCACTAATAATATAAAAGGAACAGCCATTGTGACAACTTTCAGGTATACAGCAACAACTTCCTGAAGCACCTAAACTGGCAAACTCTGAAGGATGTGACTCATCTTTACTGAACAAAATATGCAGTACAAATGGTCTCCAGATAAACTTTGTAGGGAAGGTACCCATCAAAATGAAGAAGAAACAGTTCTTGGTCAACAATACAATCAAGCAAAGGTCATTATCATGCTCTGTGAGATGCTGCAAGAAAGTGAATGCAAGTCTTCATGCAGATGATGCCAATTTATTAATCATCTCAACAGAGGTAAAATCTGCATCCGTCTGTGCCACAGCTATCATTAGAGAGGGCACAGCGCTCTTGATATTGCTTTGTTTTTATGTTGACCTCCGTTCCTTCAATCTTCTCCTTAGGTTAGACAAAAAAAGCCAAGAAAACTCAGAAAATTTGGAACATTCATTGGCTGCAGAGTGCTTTGAGTCCAAAGACAAGCAACTTATTTCCATTTGTACATGCAGTCTGTGGCTGTGACACAATGTCATGCCTGTCTGGCATTAGGAAAGGGATTGCTTTGATTAACCTAAAGAGCAGTACTCATTTCAAGAAGCAGGCAGAACTATTCTGCCACATAGCAATCACAAACGAGGTCACCTCAGTTGTAGAAGAGATGCTCGCCTTCCTGTATAATGATATTCCAGGTGAAGGACTGGAGGTACTGTGATACTGGTGATTTCCCAAGACATTTTCTGCAAGCACATCTTCTGTGCAAGTTGACACTCTGTTACCAACCACTGCGGCAGCACAGCACCTGTGTTTATTTCCAAGTTAAGCAGTGAGTGGGCATTCTCTCTCACCAGTTCCAGAAGCTCTACTGAAGGTGATCAGATGCAACTGCAAGATGATCTGTGATACAAAATTATGTACTTGAAAAAAAAAAAATTGTCTGGAATGCTCACTAGCACATACTGAGTGTGAAGAACCTAGCTGTGTAAACTCTTAATTTGTATGGACATCTTGGAAAAATTGTGAAATGTGATATATGTAATAAAAAAAGAACTATTTTAGTTGTTGTTCACTATTCATTTTCACATATGTTTGAAGTATATGGCACCATGTTGGTTATACTCATAGTTACATAGTGTACATATCATTTACAATGCAGAGCATGAAGAGATCCACCCCCACCCACCCACCCACCCACACCCCCACATACCACAGCCATTAATAACTTTTTTAATACTATTTTAAATACATAAGATAATTCTGATTGCATCAGTGCATTTTATGAGTGGTCTTTCACAAGAATTAGTGCCAAAATGTATACCAAAAGAAAAACTTTTCTGTTAAAAAAAGAGTACAGATGCATGCAGTGTAGCTGTAGTTAAAGTTTATTTCACTCTCGTTGAAGCAACTCCTTTCATCTCCATTTGCATATAATGTGCCTTAAACATTTACCAATGCAATACAATAAAAATAAATTCTTCTGCAATTAGTTCTAGGCTGACTCATTTTTCCTTCAAGACTGACTGGACTACAGTATACCTGTAGAGTGTACAGTACTGTACTAATTTTATAATAGAGTGTACAGTACTGTACTAAAGTATTTAAAACAATGTAGATAAAGGATGACCCAAACCTTCAGAATAAAACAGCAATAATACGATACTACAAATATAAAAATATACCTTAGCTTCAATAAATTCCTTATATGCCACAAGCAAAGGCAGTCCTAGATGAAAAGTGAGAAATAGTTTGGACACCAAGCTGATGCACAGCTGAGAGAGAAATGTGAATATTTCAGCCTCAGTGAGACTGCTGAAAAGGGGACTTGTGTGAGAGAGACAGTGTACATTTTAGCCTCGTGGGAGTGAAGACTGGCTGAAATATACACGTCACTTTTCTGTCTTAGTTTTCTCTTCAAGTATGCCTCACTTTTCACTGATCACTGTTTATGACATTCCAAGCAGTTTTATATAATTACCTTTTTTTTTTTGTAAGTAATGCAGTTCTATCAAGACATGTTCTTTGACCTTTGTGAAAAGATTAAGTAATAGCAACATGCATTTGGCTATATTATTAACATGCCTAATAACACACATGGTGTTGACTGTATAAATTCATGAAATAAAAAGGCATATAAAAATGAACACAGGAAGATTAGTATTTATAACAAGTTCTGAACTCATTCTCATAAAGGATCAGAGTCAATAGGGCAAAAGCTGTATAAACAAGCCCTGTAGCATGTGAGTATCAAATAGACAAGTGTGTGAGAAAAATGCAAATAGTATTGCAGATTTTGCATGAAGTTACTACAGCTGCTGTAGTATTGAAGCGTGAGGTTAGTCAGTCACCGGTCTCCAGGTCATGTACCTGTTGTCTGGCTGAGCCACCTCTGCTGCCCAGGTGAGGTAGTCGGTCGGGCCGGAGGTCAGAAGAGGAGGGTGCACCCTGTCACTCCCAGTACACGCACTCAGGCTAGGCTCTGCACTAGATGTTTTGGTGATGTCTGGCAAGTTGTGCACCTCGATGACAATGCCTTGTGAGTGTGCCTCCCTCGATGCTTCCTCCTGGTTATTGTCAAGCGAGGTTGAGGTGGTTTTGGACCAAAGGTTTAAACTTGCTATCCCCGATGCAGTGTCTAAGATTTCATTTGTGGTCTGTGGTGTGGTGCTGACTATGTTTGCAGATAACTGAGAGTGTTGGTTTTCTATACTGGGTGTGCAGACCATACCAATGTCAGGTGAGCATATAACGGTGTTGTGTGCACTGTTCCCACTAACAAAAGCTTCATTGTCTGCTGTGGTAAGTGGTTCAAACAAAGCAGCTAGTGGATTTTTATCTGTAGAAAAAACAAAATCTCTCTCACTGTTTAAACTGTTCACCTGTATCTTCAAAACATTCCCATCAGAAGTAATTGCTGGAGAATCAAATACTTTTCCTCTGTCAGAGGCAAGATAGCGGCGACTTATGTTGCTGACCCTTAGATCAGCTTTCGATGAGAAAAAGGATGATTCTGAGAGAGATTTTTCATTTTTCTTTAAAAACTTGCGAGCTTTTAATTGTCTTCCAGTCTGAGTTTTGGTGTCTGATGTCTGACTTTCTTCATAGTCCTTTTGTCCAAGTTCCCAATCCTGACTTTGGTCACTGAAATCTGAGTCCAGGTTTTTATTTTCTTGATGATGGAAGTCAGTAAGCCTCAATGGATCCACAACGTCTGGAGTGGTCTCTTGATCATCCTCTTCAGGTATAGGTGTAAGAGAGCATTGTGGCTGGTCACCATAGTGGAAGGAGTGGCAGCGTTTCATCCCAGCTCTGTACCTCTCTTGCTTATTTCTTCTCAGTCTTTTCCTATCAAGGGAATGTGAGGCATCCATATCATGCAGCACTGCCGGATGAACATTTATATTCTGCTGATCTCGAAAGCGGAGGTACTGTAAAATTTTCAAGCGGTGGATGACGCTTTTATTAATTCGTAATGCTGCTAGTTTCTCTTCTAGTTCCTTAGCAACTAAATACCTACGACCAAGTCTGAAGTTTGCCAAGTCTTCCTTAAGTAGTTCTTTTAATTCTTTTCTTTTCTTGTCAATTGATGTCATGTCATCTTTATCAGCAGGTAAAGGCATTGTCTCTTGATCACAAAGTTGCTGTTGTCTTGTGTCTACTATCTCTTCAGAAATATCATTTTCTTTGTCATCAGTTGTATAAGAAGCCTCTGATGGAGTGTAAGTGACAGACAAAGAATCTCTGCCAAAGACACGCTGAGATTCTTTGCCTAATGTCTGTACCAAGTCAGAAGAAAGGTAGTGACAAGGCTGACTTGAAGAAAGAAAAGAGCATTGTGAGGCTGGAGAGGCACTATGAGACAAGCTAGTGGCACTGTGAAGCAAGCTAGTGGCACTGTGAGGCAGGCTAGTGTCACTGTGAGGAAAGTTACTGGCACTGTAAGGCAAGCTAGTGGCACTGTCAAGCAAGCTAGTGGCACTATGAGACAAGCTATTGCTGCCTTGGGTAGAAAGCACATGTGCACAAGTGGTAGACAAAGCAGTGTTGTGTGTCATGTCCTTAACTTGTGCACTGGTGCTAAGTGAAGCAAGGCTCCTCAGTGAGGTACTCTGATCCTGTGAACTTGGGCTACATAAAGCTGGGCTGTGTTGAATGATGCCCTCAACCTGTGGTGAGCAACTCAGTGAAGCTGTAGTATGTGGGAGGAAAGAGTCAGTGCCAAGAGTGGAGTGAGTGAGTGTGTGGGGAAATGTTAGTTCAGACATGCCATGCACAATAGGTGGATTGCTGAAAGTAAAGATGGAATTAGTAAGTATCAGTGCATTATTTTGCAGTTCACATTATGCAAAATTATGAGTATTCAAAAGGGTTTGTTTCAGACTGAAGATTTTACTGATGTGTATTTACAGTGCCTTGCAATTGTACAAATTAATACTATGCTGTCACCCATGACAAATACCAGTATGGCACCTAAAGCAATAAGAACATGCTGGAAAAAACATAACAAAACTCCCACTATCAGAAACCAGTGGCTAACATCTTTCAACAAATATCCATAATGCACTGCTATTAACTTTATCTCAGAAACATGCCATTTGACAAGTTTCTGGTGGTAATTTACCTCTCTATCCTTTCGATCCTTTCTCTTTCCATCTTTTCTATTCGGATGTCATCGTAGGACCCATGAACATGGTCAGGCTTGCCAGTCTCAAGGATGAACTTGACCCGGTGACCTCCTAATGACTTCTGGGCTACATAGTTTGATTCTTCTGAGGAGCTGTGGAGGAAGGAGGGTGGGAGGTGCAACACAGAGAAACATCAACATCTGCCTACTACAACTACTTTATTTACTACTACTACTGCTGCTGAAATGTGTGATAATAAGTTTGCTGCTCACATCAAATGTCTATGAGAACAGATTTGATAAACAAAGCTGTTTATAAATACTTTGCTGTGATTCTCTAGTTGAGCCCACATATTTTTCCACCCAAAGAAACATCTCTACTGTGATTTAAAGTTTACAGCAAGTCCTACTGTGAAATAATAAGTGAAGCAACTCTACAGTGAGCATGTTACAGCTACACCAACTCTACAATGGTAGCCAGAAGCATCACACACACAAGACAGTGCTGGGGAACCTACCCGACAAAGCGGTGGGTGTCTATAGGGACGTAATTGTCATCGTAAGGGTCTGTGAAGCGTGCTCTCTGGTAGCCATTAAGGGTAGCAGCATTTCCTGCTGCTGCTGCTGCTGCTGCTGCTGCATTCTGCTGCAGCCCCATATTTACCATCTCCATGTTGATGGTGGAGGACGAGCCACTCTTCTTGAGGATGCCCTTCCTGACAGAGGAAACTGAGCTACGGTGGCTCAGGTTCCCAGACCGGTGGCTCACCGGGGAGTGGCGTGGACTGGGCCGTGGACTCATACTGCTGGAAACAGAAGACACAGGTTATCACCAGTCAATCACTGCATGCTTAATTATCACAGAATACACACATCAGAGGTCTAGTGTCACAGTAAGCCATGAATAATTAGCAGACACTGGTTAATATAATCTAAACATCTCCAGACCCCAGTATACAACATAAAGCTAGTCTAGAGTGACACCAAAGTTATTCAGCACTCTATATAATTAAACATTCTTCACTCACAACATATAACACACACACACACACACACAAGCTAAAACTCTCCTATCCCCTCATCCCAATTAAAAACCAATTACACAAATTAACACACTGTCATATTTGTGACATATGGTGACATTGTTAAAATATTTCACATTAGTTAAAAACATCAAATTGTAATACAGTATTAAAAGTTGCCTAAACTTCATCTGAGTTCACCATAGATACCTTGGTAATAGTGAAATTTACAAATGAAACGAAAAAACAGAAACCATAATCAAACAGCTTTAAAATGTGGAGCAGTCACCAGCATGCTGCAAGTATATATCAGAGAGAGAGGGCAAGCGCACTCACAAGCAAGTGGCTGTGAGTGAAGTGCACGCACTCTATCATCAGTTTACAGAGGATCATCTCATTGTGACGATTCTTTTGGAAGAAGGAGGGTCAAATGCCCACCTCTTGCTAAACTCCATACAGTAAAACTTGCTCACGAAATCGTAATGACACGATTGCAAACAAACCATACCCCGGCCGGGATTGAACCCGCGGGTTCAATCCCGGCTGGGGTATGGTCAGTATAACTTGCTGCTTGTTTTTATGGCCAATTAGGCCTGACACTTTCTTAGGATGATGAATGTGACCCAAAAGGTCACAGTCAAACATAGGTCTCTTATAGAATATGCTTAATACAGCAGCATTAACCTTCACATCAGCCCACTTATTACTCAGGACTCAAACATGACCAGAGCACTGACAAAACTCCATGTCCTTGTACTGGGTGTGGAAACAGGCGAGTGATTCCTGAAGCTTCTGAACCACAGGGTGAGCTGGAGTAAAACTGCAACCCCAGGGAGCAAAACTTCAATCCCAGGCTGGGTACAATGGACCAGACCTCTATGTAGGTAATATACAAGTAGCATAAATCAACCATCTTGATAATCTGTGAAACGACCAAAAGGCCTCAATACCATAGGTGTATAGAATATGCTTAATACACAGCATTAACCTTCACTCAGCGTTATTACTCGGATCAACAGGAAGAGCACTGCAAGATAACCCATCCTTGTACGGTGACCAGCACGCCAAGGAATTTTCCTAACCTAAACTTAAGGCGGGAACTGCACGAGGGAATTCTACTTAGGCTAAACATGCTAATAAGGCATGCCCAAGTCTGATGGCCTTAGGAAAAACTCATGATCCAATACCAACTCTAAAAACTGGTAAACACAAATGGCTACACACCATTAACGAATCAAAATTCAAACTCTTAAATATATAGGTTTTCATTGATCAGGAGATCACGTAGGATAGCTCCTTGGGTATCACATAGCTACAAGGAATCTTTCATCACCAAAACTGTCACGTCATGCAGAGAATATTGCTGTAGGTTAACTTGCTAAAGGACATTACCTAAGTCTGAACAATGTTCTTAACCTGGGATCCACTAGCAACTCCAAAACAAAAAATCCCAGATTCACCAACCAGAGAGTTTACACTCCAAGGAAACTTCAGATCTCAAGTATGCAGAAGGCAAAGTTGTACTCTACAAGTATGCTGAGAGATAAAGCTGAAACCTTCAAGGAAAGTACTGTACCTAGATGACTGTAAAGGGAACTAAGTACAGTACAAGGAAATAGGACTACCCTCCCCTTTATCAAATAAAATCTGATTATTTCCCATTTCTCTGGAGCTGTATGATCCCAATGAGGTTACTGCTTCTCCATGAATATTTAGCAAAACATAAATAACAAAAAAAGCACAATACCGTGACTGGAACAATACACAAATAACCCACACATAGAAGAGAGGAGCTTATGACGATGTTTCGGTCCGACTTGGACCATTTACAATGTGCGGGTTATTTGTGTAGAAAAACAATCCATTTATTTACATTTATATACTCCAAGATAAACTTAGTAGGCTACTACTGGAGTTTCAAATTCCTTCAAAAATAATTTCCAAGAGAACTGGGGAAGTTTCCACAGAGTAAAAGTGAGCCACCAGAGAGATGATATGAGAAACTTCAAGGGATGTTATGAGAATCGAGAGACCAAGAGAATAACTAACCTGAAGTTTAGTCTTCGAGATGATGAAGGTGATTGATCTGGCGACGACCTGGCCGAGGTGGTGGAGCCGTCGCCCCGTCCCACCTCGTCCTCGTCCTCGCTGAAGAAAGCGGGATTAACTACCCCGGGGTCGTCTTTGTCCTCCTTGTCTTCCCCGGGCATAATGTCCTCCTCATCGGAGTCATCACATCCAAGCTTGAACCTCGACGACCTCCTCTCCTGGCTCTTTAATTTGCCGTTGGCCAGACCCTCGTGCTTGCTCTTCTCATTTCTTTTGTTCTTTTCATTGTTGTCTTTGCTGGTGTCGTCGTCAGAGGTTGGAACGAGTGGGCACCCGTCGCCCAGGTCCTCGTCACTCTCAAGTACCGCCGTGTTCTCGTTCTCGTCTGTCAGTGACTTGCTGTCTTCCTTAGTCTTATTGTTGATTGAGGCGAGGAATGCCTGCAGAGTAAGGAACCAGAAACAAAGTGAGTAAACTCTCTCTCTCTCTCCTCCCTCATATACCGCAACTTCTCCCTTCCTTTATATTCTCTAAAGTAATACCTAGTTTCCCTAAGCTTGTCAAAATATATGTTGCTCTTAACTCCAGTAACTAAAACATTTCAGTATATTATGAAAAAAAATATTCCAGGGAAGAACCCTGAGGTACTCCCCTTACAGCTGATCCCCATTAAGATTTTCCCCATTAATGATAATTGTATAGTGTTACCCATGTACTGCTCAGATTCAATTATTCTTTTCCTCAGTTTTAAGCTTCAGGTTAATTTATGGTCAATATTGGGTTTAGGTCCTCTCTCTCTGTAGGTAATGCACTTTTTCCGACTGTTATAATAATAATAATAATAATAATAATAATAATAATAATAATCTCAACTTCAGCTGCTAAGTTAATTTCGTTACTTGGCATTTAAAAGAAATATTGGTAATTATTCCCAATGAGCTCTGTAGTGAGCTTTAACTGTTACTAGTGAGTTCTGTAGCACACTTCAACTGTTACTAGTCATCTCTGTAGTGAACTTCACCAACTGTATTAGTCAGCTTCAACTGTTTCCAGTGAGCTCTGTAGTAAGCTTCACCAGCTGTTACTAGTGAGTTTCACAAACTGTTACTAGTGAGCTCTGTAGTGAGCTTCAACTGTTACTAGCAAGCTCTGTAGTGAGCTTCAACTGTTACTAGTGAGCTCTGTAGTGAGCTTCAACTGTTACTAGTGAGCTCTGTAATGAGCTTCAACTGTTACTAGTGAGCTCAGTAGTGAACTTCACCAGCTGTTACTAGTGAGCTTCACTTGAAGTGGACGAGTCCAACTATAACTGCCCATATGTGGACAAATATACTAGCTATCCTTAAATCAAAGATAATCACAGACAACATTACTGACCCAACCTTCCTCATAACAAACATTTCTAAGCAATCAATGGAATATAGCAAGCTCTCTTTTCAACTCCATGATGAGGCGTCAAAAAGTAACTTCAGTGCCAGAGTTGACTGGCCCAAGAATTTCCCAGTGCCAATGATATCGATGAATGGATAGATATATTTCTAATCACAACACATCGACTGTACAACAAATACTGTCCCATAAAAAACTAAACGAATCACTAATAAACGACTAAGTTGCCCGTGGCTTATTAATATACCATTCTAAGATCCATATTCTCAATGTCACAAAATCCTCCTAAATATTAAAGACTGAATGTGTCCCTTTTATGTTAATAATAAAACCTATAAATCCTTATCAATTAAACTTGATAAAAGCCATATAGCATGAACTAATATTATTATAATAAAAAAGAAGCACTAAGCCACAAGGGCTATACAGCGCATGAACTAATAGGATATTCAATTCTCTTGTATTCACTGTAACTCCTAAATTTATACTTACACTCACCCAAGTGACTGTATGTATAAAATTACTCTATTGTTATTGTCTTTTTAATCTCAAGTTAGCCTTCAGTTTGCCCAAAATGAGAGAACCATAAACAGTCACTGCTAGTGACACAACCAAAATCAGTCACTGCTAGTGAGACAACCAAAGTCAGTCACTGGTAGTGAGACAACCAATGTCAGTCACTGCTAGTGAGACAACCAATGTCAGTCACTGCTAATGAGACAACCAAATTCAGTCACTGTTCCTAAATTAAAACAAGACTTTGAATAGTTCTGTAATGTGGAAACTGCTACAGTATGCACATTTAATTTTAAATTCAAGGTACAGTACTATACTATTACTGAGCAGAATTATTTCTTCCAGTGCTTTGATCCTGCAAATCTCTGCGTATATAAGAGCTTCCTGCATGTACACCTAAATGTCATTCATCTCTGTACAAACATTGTATCATGCTGAAATAAAGTACAGCGGTCCCTCACTTTTCGTAGTTCTCGGCAATCGTAAATTTCGCCAATCATAGGGGTATTTTCGTATAAACATGGCCTCGCTTTTCATAGGTTGACTTGCAAATATAGTTCGTCCAGGACGCTTACGCACGGTGTGAGCCGGGGCGGCCTCCCTACCCAGCCAGTCTGGCATTGTTTACCAGTGAGTGAAGGTCCCCTCAAGTGCTCCTACGAAATATTTCATAATATTCCACTCATTTTAGTGCTTGCAAGTACTAAATAAGCTACCATGGCTCCAAAGAAAGCTCCTAGTGCCAAGCCTGTGGTAAAGAAGGTGAGAAATATGTACAGTGACAAAGTCTTGTACCATTTTAGGGAAGTGTTAAAGAGACGCCAGAACAGAGCTCTCTCCACAGTTACTTTGCGAGACAGGACTAGAGTGACTCTCAAGGTGGTCCTAGTGGCATTAAGAAACAGAGAAGAGAAGCAACCCCAGAGAAGCAATTGGTACCTGAGGTGTTGCTGGAAGGGAATTCCCCTTCCAAACTGTAAACAATCCAATCTCTCTCCTCCTCCAGTCTCCCATACACTAAGAAGAATCTCCAATAAAGGTAAGTGTTATGCTGTTAATGTTTCATTCATCATTTCCCATTGTATTGTTTATGTACTACATGTATATTTCATGTAAAAAATTTTTTTGTTTTAATACTTCTGAGTGTCAGAAACGGATTAATTGTATTTACATTATTTCTTATGGGGAAAATTGATTCGCAAATCGTAAATTTCGTTTATAGTAGCTCCTCCAGGAACGGATCAATTACGAAAAACGAGGGACCACTGTATTATTATTACTAGTGAGCTTTAACTGTTATCAGTGAGCTAAGTAGTGAGCTTCACCAACTGTTCATAGTGAGCTTAAACTGTTACTAGTGAGCTCTGTACTGAGCTTCACCAACTGTTACTATTGAGCTCTACACAAATAACCCGCACATAGAAGAGAGGAGCTTACGACGACGTTTCGGTCCGACTTCGACCATTTACAAAGTCACACTGACTTTGTAAATGGTCCAAGTCGGACCGAAATGTCGTCGTAAGCTCCTCTCTTCTATGTGCGGGTTACGTATTTGTGTATTGTTCCAGTCACGGTATTGTGCCTTTTTTTGTTATATTTAGTGAGCTCTGTAGTGAACTTCACCAGCTATTAATAGTGAGCTCTGTAATGAGTTTCAACTGTTACTAGTGAGCTCTGTAATGAGTTTCAACTGTTACTAGTGAGCTCTGTAGTGAGTTTCAACTGTTACTAGTGAGCTCTGTAGTGAGTTTCAACTGTTACTAGTGAGCTCTGTAGTGAGTTTCAACTGTTACTAGTGAGCTCTGTAGTGAGTTTCAACTGTTACTAGTGAGCTCTGTAGTGAGTTTCAACTGTTACTAGTGAGCTCTGTAGTGAGTTTCAACTGTTACTAGTGAGCTCTGTAGTGAGTTTCAACTGTTACTAGTGAGCTCTGTAGTGAGTTTCAACTGTTACTAGTGAGCTCTGTAGTGAGTTTCAACTGTTACTAGTGAGCTCTGTAGTGAGTTTCAACTGTTACTAGTGAGCTCTGTAGTGAGTTTCAACTGTTACTAGTGAGCTCTGTAGTGAGTTTCAACTGTTACTAGTGAGCTCTGTAGTGAGTTTCAACTGTTACTAGTGAGCTCTGTAGTGAGTTTCAACTGTTACTAGTGAGCTCTGTAGTGAGTTTCAACTGTTACTAGTGAGCTCTGTAGTGAGTTTCAACTGTTACTAGTGAGCTCTGTAGTGAGTTTCAACTGTTACTAGTGAGCTCTGTAGTGAGTTTCAACTGTTACTAGTGAGCTCTGTAGTGAGTTTCAACTGTTACTAGTGAGCTCTGTAGTGAGTTTCAACTGTTACTAGTGAGCTCTGTAGTGAGTTTCAACTGTTTACTAGTGAGCTCTGTAGTGAGTTTCAATAATGTTACTAGTGAGCTCTGTAGTGAGTTTCAACTGTTACTAGTGCTCTGTAGTGAGTTTCAACTGTTACTAGTGAGCTCTGTAGTGAGTTTCAACTGTTACTAGTGAGCTCTGTAGTGAGTTTCAACTGTTACTAGTGAGCTCTGTAGTGAGTTTCAACAACTGTGATGCACGAACAAGTACATGGGATATTCAACGAGTTAATTAAGTACTGTGATTCATGAACAAGTACACGGGATGTTCAACGAGTTAATTAAGTACTGTGACTCACGAACAAGTACACGGGATGTTTAACAAGTTAGTTAAGTATTGTGATGCATGAACAGGTACACGGGATGTTCAACGAGTTAGATGAGTGTTGCAAGGCGGGAGTGCCTCACCTCGGCAACTCTTCATGGTAATACCCTCCATCATCATGATGGTACAACCTCTCTCTCACATTTTCTGCCCAACACCTTCACTCTTCTCTCCTCTTCAAGAACATCTAGCAATGGAGACTTGCATATGAGTTTATGGGGTTATCAAAGCCTATTCCTTGGGCAGCATTGAAAATGGCTTCGGCAGACATTTTTGTTAGTGGGTTTGGGTTTGAGAAGGAGCTTCCTAGTATGGACCAATAGGCCTGCTGCAGTGTTCCTCCCTTCTAATGTTCGCCAAACGTTGTTATGTAATAACCACCTTCATGGGATAGCAGAGAGCAACGGAACGGAATGAGAATAACACAAGTCTAAAGAACCTAGAATCCGCGAATCCTTTAGAATCCTCACTAAGCCTTGAGAATGTCCTCTTCTAGAATTGGCCTGAGGACGCACCATGGTAAAATCATGGCACCTGTGGTGGTGAGGCGGCACTGCTAGGTTGGCACACGGTCCACACTACACTGGCACACCGTAACTACGCCACCTGCCGCCGGAAGTGCGATAAATGGCTGGGCTGGTCCCCCATAGACCGCACCGCTGCAAAACACGTTGCTCGATCCCTCTTTTTGGCTTTTAGGATAAGCTATTATGTGCGTACACAGCTTCCTCGGTACCACCATCAACGGCACATAATGGTAAAGAAAGACACAATTAAGTGTGTGACGTAGCAACACAAGCAAGTAAATTAGGGCGACTGTTAGGCAGAATGGAAGGGAAGAG